TATAATATCATCTGCATAAAGCAAGTGTGAGATCCTAGGAAAGTTTTCATATATCTTAACTCCAATAACATCCTTCCTTTGATTCAAAGCATTAGAGAGCAATTGAGAACAAAGAATAAACAGAAATGGAGATAGAGGACATCCTTGCCGAAATCCATAATGACCTTTAATCCAATTTGAATAATTCTCATTAATTAATATTGAAATAATCAAAAATTCAACACATTATATAATCAATTTTGCAAATTTAATGGGAAAACCAAAATAATGAAGAACTTGCTTTAGTGTAGTCCACCCCATACTATTATAAGTTTGCTCCATATCCAAATTGAAAGAAACCAGGCCTTTTTTAGATTTTAAAAATCTAGATTTATGGAAACCTCTTGTGCCAATAATACATGTTCTGACATTGAATGACCTTTCAAAAAAGCTTCTTGGTCTTCAAAAATCAGTTTTGAAATCACTTTAACTAGTCTATTCAAAAGAATTTTTGCCACAATTTTATAAATTATTTTACACAAACTAATATGCCATAAATTAGATGGAAATATAGGATTTTCCACCTTAGAAATAAGCACAACAAGAGTTTATTTCCACTTAGCATCCATAACACCTGAGGAGAAGAAATATTGAATAGCATTCCACACATCAAGTTTAATGATACTCCAATAAAAATTAATGAACGAATAAGTAATTCCATCGTTACCTGGAGATTTAAAGCCTCTTAGCTGATTAACCACTTCATTGATTTCGTCCCAAGAGATTTCGGATTCCAACATATTTTTATCATCTTCATCCAACATACACACCAATTTTGGCCAATCTTCCAAAGAACAATCCCTTTGACACCATTTTTTGCTGAGGTAGTCAATAAAAACCTCTTCAATATGCTCTTGATCTTCCACCATGTTGGCCCCCTCATCTTTGATTATGTAAATCTAATTAGCATTTCTTCTTACACTTGCATAAAAGTGAAAAAATCTAGAATTAAGATCTCCTTCCGAAAGCCAACTAATTTTTGAGCTTTGTCTCCACCAAGTATTAAGTCTTGCCAATGTGCAATTCAGCTCCTTTACCTTGGATCTAAGACTTAACAACTTTTCCACTGAAGGAGTGCACATTGTAGTTTCTTCTAATTGTCATTTCATAATTTCCACTTTGAGATGATCTTTCAAAGCATTAAGATCTCCAAGCTTAGCTTTACTCCAAAATAATAAGGCTCTCAAAGCCCTTCTAGACTTCATGTTAAGAATTTCAGAAAAGCTTCCCATAGCTTTTCTAGACCAAGCTTTAGCCACAATAACATATGAGGCATGATAAGAAAAGCCCAAGAATCTTCAAATCTTGTAATTTTAGTAGTCTTGAACTTATTCTTTAAAAGATTAACCAAAATAGGGTAATGATCAGATGCCACCCTAGCAAGATGTCTCGCCACCACCCATTGAGACATTTCAATAGCCTTCGAATTCAAAAAGCACCTATCAAGTCTTTCTAATTTATGAGCTCCATCAACTTTGTTATTGCACTAAGTGATATAGACCCAATGAATCCCACATCAAGAAAATCATTTATAAATAGAAAAGACTTCATCCCCTTTGGTCCTTGTGAAAAACAAAATCTTCTACCTCCTCTTTTATCTTCTTTATCCAGTAAATAATTAAAACCCCCTCTAATTAAAGAAGGCAAATCCTTGGAGGAGTAAAGATTTATTTTCCTCCACAATTCCCTTCTTTTGTTGGTATCATTATTTCCATAAACAGTAGTTATATGCTAAACATCTTTATTATACACCTCCATATCACCAATAATGCATTGAGAAAAAAGCTCCAAAGTATTGAAAGAAGATACTTTATTATTTCACAAAACCATAATACCTCCTGATAAGCCTTCAGCTGGTACAAAAGAGAAATCCCAATCTACACCAATAAGCTTATCCACTTCCTTTCTATCAATGTAGGAGAGCTTCGTTTCCAACAAACTAAAAAAAAAAAAATCCCATTCCTTCACAAACTCCTTAAGGTATAGAGAAGCCTGATCTTTCTTAGCTCCTCTATAATTCCAAAAAGCAATGGTCGACATTTATTTGATCGAAAGGGTAACATTTCCCTCCGAGATTTTCTTTCCCACTTCATTTCTTTTGCTTCTAGCCAAAGATTTAATAGGACCGAGAGATTTCAATTCTTTAGCAAGTACTCTTTTAAAAGAAGAAGAGTTATCTTCATTACCAACTCCTTCTATGCTATTTACCTTAGAATCACCATAATTTTCCTTAGGAGAAATCCTATTAGCATGATTATTTTTTCCATCAGAAATCACAACTTCCCCTTTTTCTCTATCAGAATTAAGAATAGAAATACCTTCTTCATTGATTTCTGAAAACACTCCAAATTTTTTAACATTTGGAGACGAGTAAGCCAACTTTTCTTCATTAATAACTTATGTTTCCAAATTAACAACATAAGTTTTAGTACCAGATTTTACCTGAAGGTTGTTGCTCTTCAAATTAGAGTCATGCAGCTTCGACATCTTATCAACATTTGACTGTTCTTTCAAAGTTGAAGCAGAAATCACATTAGCATCCCTTTCCACCTTATCCAACATGTTATTCTTAGACCCATTTATAAAAGTTGAGTTATTCTGGAAAGCAGAATCTATCTTTCTCACTAATTTTCTGTAATTCTTTTCATAGTTAACATGAATCCATGGTCCATAATTTGAAATTTGGTTAGAATGAACATCCCTTTCCACTACAGAATCATTACTAACCTTTGGTTCTTTAATCGTATCAACAGTATGATCAATAACCTGAGGATTAACTGAGTAGGATTCAGTGCATCTAGAGTTCAAGCGACATATTTTTCCATATTTGAAACAAAAATTGAAAATACATTCGTATTCAACCTTTTGAAAAAATCTCCCAGCAGATCCTTCCACCCAAACGCCCAAAGGAAGTTTATTATTCAGTTGAATACGAACACAAACTCTAGCAAATTCTCTCCTCCCCCATTGGAACATATTTCCATCTAGCATATATAGTTTACCCACTTGAGAAGCAATTCTACATATGCTGACTTCATCCCAACATCGAAGTGGTAAATTCGGCATTCTGATCCAAATCGGAGCTGAAAGACCCTTTAAAGAACCAGGTAAAAAGCTTGATAACCATTTATCAATCCCAATGATATTTCCATTTACATACCATGGTCCTTCAGACAAAACATCATCCATTTCATCTTCATTATCAAAGGCACACAGTACCCATCCCATCCCTAATAAGGTTAAATGGAATTTACCAAATCGATTCCATTGTCTTCACAATTCACTACTAATCAAATGAAACAGAATGTTATCAACAAATACCTTTACCACAATGGATTTTTGCAGCTGGAAGATATTTTCCTTCTCTTTTTCTTCATTCGTCTTAACTGCTTGTCCATCTTTTATTAAACAGCTTCCAAAATCTACATTGTCAATTCTAATATTTTGTTTTTTGTTCCAAACATTATTCATGACATTACTAGTAGCATCTTTTGAAGTAGAAACATTCATAGTATCAGCAAACTTGTTTGCCTAATTCAATTCAGCATAAATACAGTTGCGAACCAAACATAGATCTTCCTTCAGTAAACTTGTTTGCCCCAAGATCTAATTTGAAAGAATTTTTTAATTTATCTTATAATTAATCTATTAGAGCATTTAATTTTTATTTATTTAACAAAAGTCATATGAAGCAATCATGTACATCAAAATATTTTTACTATATTCATCTAAAGTACATTTATAATAGTCAGAAGTTTAATCAATACACCACTTTTTTCTTAACACTTTTGACTACAAAAAAATAAAATATTAAATAAAAAAATAAATATAAAATCCAGAAATAACATTAGCCTCACTCTACTGGGTCCTAACCCTTTCTAAAAAAAATATTTAAAACCACGTAGTGAACCAACAATTCAACAAGTTACCAAACAAGTATAATCTATGTAAGTCAATTGAAACAATATTCATGTAATCATTCAATTTAAATCAGTATGAATATGTACCAGTAAGAATGAAAAATTGTCAATTTGAATAGTCATTTCATATGAGAAATTGAAGCCAATATAAACATTGTAACTTACAATTAATGTACACTGATCATTACCTATGTCAAGTTCAAAATAGGTCTGTTATGAATCTATGCAAGTTTATGAATTATACTTTATTTCAATCTATATGCTATTTCATATATTGCATGATTATTTATATTAAAAAAGATATATTTAAAAGCTTTAATAATGAAATAATTGTTCAGTGATTTCAAAATATGAAGATTTATAAAAACAATTTATATGTAACATGTAAAGAGAATATGAATATTAGGCGATCTCAATGGTAATTTATTTATAATTTATCTTCTTATAATGAGAACTCCAATAATTTTTATTTAAAAAATTGCCAACTATTATTACAAGATTGGATGAAAAAGATACTTTTACAATCAAAAATTTATACTCCCATAAAAAAATATTTTGGCTTTGTTACTATTATTATTTTTGTATGATTTTATTTGTTCAAGATTTTATATAAAATTAAGATGTAAAATTATCTCTTTATTATCATAAAAATTTTAACATATAATAATATATACACATACCAATTTATATCTTATTCTAAATCCATAAATTCATTAAGATAAATAAACGAGTTGAGCATAAATAAAATGTATGCTCGATTGAATAAATAAATAAATCCAGCTTACATAAAATATTATATCTTCTTTATTGAATAAGTTAAGCCGAATAATACGTACTCAAATTTGAATTATTCACACCACCATCAGAGAACAAGCAACCATGGCCGAAAGGATAGGTGAACACTGATGTTAATTATAACAACCGAACACAAATAACGAACGGGCTACGTCATCCGGACCCGGAGGTTCGAAGAATCCAAAATTTTAAAGTGGGCCCTAGTTCCATCCCACCGCTGCACCGAAGAAGATTTCCCGTTCCCTCCCTTGCCTCTCTTGTCTCCGAGCTCCTCGTTCGTTATCCTCTCTTGGCTCTCGCGCCAGCCGACTTTGCACCATCCAAATCTCTCCTTAATCCCTACCACATTTCCTTTCTGAATCCCTAGATATCGTCGGCGATGGGGAGCAGCTCCTCGAAGCACCCGACTAGCTCACATGACAGCCTCGACGAAGGTGGCAGCGGCGGCCAGCTCTACGTGTCACTCAAGTTGGAGAACTTCAACATACGAGGCGATCTCATTCCTCACGTATTTGGTTCCGTTCCCATCATCGGTTCATGGGATCCCTCTCGAGCTGTGCGGGCAACTCTCCTCAGCTAATAAACTCTCTTTTCCCTCCAAGTATAATTCACTCATTCCCTTTCTCTTCGTTCTTCCTTGTAGCTGCGGATGGAGAGAGAATCTGCGTCAATGTGGGAACTTAGCTTTGTCGTTCCACCGAATCACGGTACGTAAATTTTCATCGCTGAAGTATGAGCAAACGGGTTGGATTCTGGTTTTGAGAGTTGGATTTATGCTGTAGAAACGCTGCACTTTCACTTCCTTCTGAAGCCCAAGGATAGGGAAGGGCCGTACGTGGTGGAGGACGGGGCGGACCGGCTACTTATAGGTGGAAACCTGGAGGGGGACGCCAGGACAGCGGTGTTCAGGCCTCCTGAAGATGGTCATGAGGCGACTCTTGAGTACAAGGTGTTTGTGAAGGTGGACAATGTATCGCCTTTTGATCTTGCGGCGAGCTGGAGGGCTTATAAGGAAAATCTCCGACCGTCCACCGTCAGGGGAATACCTGATATCAGTATAAATGCCGCCCCTGAAGGAGGGCAAGAGGTGAGCCTTGAATCTTAACTTGAAAATATTTAGAATTTTTTTTACTATAAATTTTTTAATGATTTTGTAGCTTTTCTTCTCTAAGCGTTGCGTCGTGCTTAACCGATACTGATGGAGCAATTTTTGTTCAAAACACTATCTGACGTGAAAGCAAATACTTGGTTCTAATTCTCACTAGCCTACTACATTATGCTAAAATATGATAGCCTAATATTTTGATATATTTGTAATAGCTCAAGCTCTACATTATGCTAAAATATGATAGCCTAATATTTTGATATATTTATAATAGCTCAAGCTCTCAACCATCGAGATATTGTCCGTTTTGACATAAGTACTTCACGATTTTTTCCTGCTGGTATAACTTCCGGCCAGGAGGTCAACCATCCTAATAGTGATTTATACGAGCATGCTTAACTATAGAGTTTCTACTAAAATTTCAACCGTCACACCAAAAATGCTTGATGTTTAAGAACTTAGCTTTATTTTTTTAAGGGATTTCACAATCTGTTCCACTTAGTTAACTGATATCCTCGTTAGGCCCCTTAACCTAGACTCATCCACCAGGAAGATAGGATTCTAAAGATCCTATCTTTCTGCTAGTTTATGATAATGATAGACTTACTATATACAGCCAAACATACAAATAATTTCAACAGCACAGCACGTTATCTGCTACTGGCATTCTTCACCTCTTTGACTTCTGATTCCTTTCTTTAGTGCTTTATGTAACTACCCAAGGATAGTTTAGTATTTTCACTGTTCTGTTAAGTTTAGATATAAGCTCATGCATTTTAGCCGAGATCAATCAATGAAATCATGTTTACCAAACTCATTCTCTAAGTTTTCTTATTCTGGAAGAAGAATGCTTTGGTATTCTGTAAGATAGTCTTCAACAGTTTATAGCTTGGATATAATTTGTAACAGCTCAAACTTTCAACCATCGAGATATTGTTTGCTTTGACCCAAATGCCTTAACAATTTTTTCCCCTTGATTTAACTTTTCAGGAGTTCAACCATCCTAGGAGTGCTCTTGTATATGCATGCTTATCCGAAATATGCATTACAAGATTTCATGCCAAATATTCATTAGAATTTCATGCCATTTTGGAAACTGACGTAAAGGAGATGGATAAGTCTATTTATTGATGTCTTTTTTTAATACCAGAAAGATCCTATATAAAGAAGTGAGATAAGAGACTGCACAGGATAGGATAAAGAAATCAAGAAGTAGCTCGACATGTTTGAAGTTTCAATTAAAATTTTAACTGTCACACTAAAAGGTGTCTTAATATTTAAGAGTTTAATTTTATTTTCTTAAGGGATTTCACAATATTATCCCTTGCTCTTAGTGATTTTATCCTTATCTTGCATTATTTTCTTGCTAAGTGATCTTCATTGTTAGAATTGACTACAAACATATGATAAGATCATTCAGCTTTATGTGCAACCCGAGAAGTCCTTCAAGTACAGTGATTTCTTCACTACAGCATGGGGGATGCAAGTGGGCAAGATGATCATTTCAGCATTCCAATCTTTTACTCTGCACAATTTCTTTGCTGATGTCAATGAAAACTCTCTAGTGATTAAGCACTTTGGTGATGAATGTTTGCATTTTTTTCACAGCATGGGGAATCCTACTGAGGCAGAATGATAATTAATTTTTTATTCATATTTCCTATACTCTCTTTCTGCATATTCTAGTCAGTGGTCTTTGAAAACTCTTTATTTACCAAGCACCTTGGTTATGGGCATAGGGTGTATATATTCCTTCACAACAATATGGAGGATGCAGGCGGGTGGGATGGCTATAATGTACATAAGAATTTATAATATTTTTATTTGCTATATAAATGTCTTGGATTATATGATATGTCATGAATAGTATAATTTAATATTCAATGCTTTATAATATATGCGTCAGTATTTACATATTTTATATATAATACGCTCTATTATAAAAGTACTATAAAAGCTCATTCGGTTGCGTGAAGCTACTAATCATATTTTGAAAAACGATGAAGTTTTGATGAATTTATCATTTGATTGAATATAAGTAGAAATTATAATTCATTTTTAACTCCTAAAACCTCCTCAAAAACTCTGAAAATGAAGATTTCAATCACATCTAAAATAAGTAAAAACAAAATCCTTACTTTCTAAAACATATTTTCTATGTATAAAGCAACCAAGTTAGTGCTAATGTTTCTTTTGTGCGTGTAATTAATATGATTTGTGTGTGTTTGAGTGGCATAGGAGCTTTGCGGATAGGTGAGAGTATTACATTTATCCATTTTGACTGACTTCTAAGTAAGAGGCTGAGGTCAAATAACTAAGAATCTTATATATATATATCCTTTTTGCGGTAAAAGTCACTTCCCGCTCGTAGTCACCCAAATAACCTGTGTGGCTCCATTCCTCAACTTCTCACATCTCACCTCCTCTTACATGTGATTAAATATGCCCTAAGCTAAGAAAGTATAAGCCAGGTTTAAGTTTTACCTCCTTATCATTTGCAACATGCGTCGTTTTGAAAAACTAGTGTTAAAGTTGGCTCAAGTGTAGACCAAACAAACCCTAGCTTTAAACATTCGAAGGACATTTTACTTCATGTGAACCAAATGAGCACCCGTCGGCTCAGTATTTTTCTTCTTCTCTCAAAAGATAAAGATGATTAACTTTCTTGAGCAACTTGCATGGAGCTGATCAGTATTTTAGTAGTAGTCAGCACACAAACAGTCTTAGTTTGGTCATATTTAACTTGCATATGTAGAAATAAGGGATGCTATTAGCCTTTGGTGGATTTGTTCCTTACTCTGTTTTTTCTTTTATTTTACCTAATTCATGTTTTTACTTTTATCTACCAGAGTGGTTCAACAACGAGTTTGGAGCTTGATTTAGAGAGCTATGTTGTACCTTTACCATCCTGTGCCGGTGCTGCTGTTTATGCAGCTAATCTGGCAGAGACTCCAAGATCTGTTGGCTACCATTGGGAATCCCCCAAATATGACGTCTCAAGCATTTCACCTAGTTCAAGCACTACTAGAGTAGTTGCTGCTAATCATGCAGCGCCTAATAAGGTATTTATTGGTAACCTTGTCCACTTAGTGGTAGGATTAGTGATGTATCAAGTATATAAGCTTTGCTAATGAATGAATTACAATCCTCTTAACCAACTTTTTATTGCAGTATTCTTTTCTTGAAATTAGACTCACCGTTTTCTTAATGCGCTAGGTTTTTAAGGGGACTGTTATTAGCATATGAATTACCCAAGTTCTTTGAGTTTCTTTATCTTTCCTTTTTTGTCTATCATCTGGTCCTATTTTAACGACCATCTCTATTCATACATATATTTCATATTTGCAATTTGATTTGAACAACAATGATTGTTTAATCAACTAAATGCCTTTGATAGTTGCAAAATAATTCTTGTTAAAAGGAACAATGCGTTGTTTAGGGATTTTTTTGAACTTGGTAGATATGGCAACCTTAGCAACTTAAAATGCTGTTGAATAAAAGATAGGTTAAACCTGATGCAGTAGCATGAATTAAGGAAATTAAGCACTTTAAATTGAGATTGTTATGATATATGGGATTATATTACTCAAGAAGAATGAATGGATAGAGGAAATTCATAATGGGATAAGGTTAATGATGATGGTGATACTGGTAAAAATTATGATTAGGCAAAGAATTTTTTTCAAGATTTTTTAACCTTGTTGCTATCTTTTTCATGGCCCTTCCCATGTCTCTCTCATGGATGCCATGATCATATAAAGTTGCAAAGACCTCTCCTAGACATTTATATGAAACTTTAGTGCCTTTTTCACTTGTTTTGAGATTGATTTGAGTATTGGGAAGATTGCAATGGGAAAATTGGGCCTCGCATCCCCACCCAGGTCCAATTTGCCTAACCTATACAATGTTTTATTTATTTTTACCTATTTCGAGGTGAATGGTCAGGTTGATGCTTTAGACCAAGATCATTGCATATGTAACACCAAAATAATGAATATGTATGCTAAAATTTTTCCTGCAAAAATATATCCCATTTTTCGTATATCCCAAAATTTGTCTAAATTATTTTTATTATATTATATATTTCATTTAGATTATTTTGATTTGTAGGAGAAACAGCAAAAGTCAATAACTACAGCAAGACTTTATCCCACTA